ACTTCCTAAAGGAGCTGCAAGTGGAAAACTTTCCTATCATCATCTATATAAGCACATCGATATGAAGTTTGTGTTCATCAGAGATTTGGTTAAGCAGGGCATGCTTAAAATCATAAGCATCCCATCCCAAGAGCAACCAGCAGATGTTTTCACCAAGCCATTGCCGAAAGTACAAAATCAACGATTTTTTGAGTTACTCAATGTAAAAATTGAGGGGAAGTGTTAGAAATAAGAATATAATTTTTATTCAATGAACCCTGTTCAAATAATGTCGTTAACCACTGTAACCATAAGTTTGCGAAAGCCATCAATCGGTCGCTAACAGAGAATGTTACATCGTAGTTAAGTTGACAGCTGGGTAAACAGCTGAACAAAGGTTTACAATTACCTTGGAAAATTGTCCTTTGAACAAAAATATGCGTATTTTATTAATTGAAATTTAAATATCCTATAAAGCTGAAAAGTTTCTGCATTGAGTGGCGCAAAACCACCGACGACCGGTTTACAATTGACGTAGTTAGATAGATTTCTTCCGACAAAAGTGCCGTCTACTGAGCTTTCTCCCAAGCCGATCTGAAATTAAAAATGGCCAGTCCACTTTTCAAAAAATTTAAGCCCAGCATAAACCAGTCAATGGCTGAAAGAAAGTGAAAAAATAAAATAATTGAGAAGCTTTTCACATATTTTAAGACCTTCTATCTCTGAGTTTAGTTCAAACTAAATAATGCATTAGGTCCTAAATAACATTGCCAGATTACCTTCGTTGACTTTCTCTTTGCCATTTTCAGCACACAGATCGATGAAAGAAGCTATTATCTAGCTTCCAAAATGATAAACATCACAAGAAACAGTTATGTCTCCAAGGTATTAGCGAAAGAGAAAGTCGACGAAGAGAATCTATCAATGCTACTTAGGACCTAATGCATTGTTCAGCTTGAGTTTTCGTCGCTCTTTATTGTGTTCTTTGCGATTTTAGAGCAGCACAAGACGTCCAATTCCATCAAAAGATAATTTGTATGACCTTGGATCTGGAGTTGTGATGTGTGGAGCACTTCCGAGCACTTCTAAATTTAAAATTCTGTATGATACTTTGGACCGTAGACGAATGATGTAGGGGAAATGTTGGCTTCGGCAATACCTTAACCTATTGTTTACTTCCCTGACGATAATAGGTTAAGGTATTGCCGAAGCCAACATTTCCCCTACATGGATTCATTTTGGCATCACCTAAGTTCGAGTCATTTGACTTCCAAGGTACCATCTTTTAATTATCATTTAACAATCATGGGAAGTTCCGGGTCCAAGGACTCCCTTGAGAAGCCTATCGGATATTCCAGTAAAGATGTCAATGAAGTTATCCAGTACCATACCATCCAGCATGTACTAATTTATAGTACTGCAGGAAGCCATGCAGTACCCACCATCCTGCATGCATCAAAAATAACCTATTGCATACTTCACGGCGTAAATCGAGCAATTGTGCTGAATAAACATTCAAATCAAAACGTTCAACCACATCAGTCAGACGATTTTAAAACCATTAACCATGATGTTTAAGTAACGGCGCCGGTGGTGTAGTGGTAAGCGTGATTACCTCTCACCCCAGCAGGTCTGGGTTCAATCCCAGTCGGCACCGCCGGGATGTTCTGAGGCATAACATCTCTGATCACGCCTTCCTTCGGAAGGGAAGTAAAGCCGTTGGTCCCCGGTTCATGAGTTGATGGGTCGATAGGCAGGGTCCAGGTGTGGGAGCTGCCTTCCTGGCACGTCGGTAGCATTGGTGCTCAGCACGGAAAACAAGATCGACGGAAAAAACAAACCAAAGGAAATAAACATGATGTTTAAGTATGCAAATGTCTTGTAAAGATGCAACTGAATACTTTGGATAAATAATTTTAATTATATTTGGCTCAGCATTCCCATCCAGCAAGTATTTGTAACATAATATTAAATTACTTTGAAGAACTCCTCTATGAAGTGAAAAAAAAAATCAATCAGACAGTTTGAAAACAATTAGCCAGGGGGGGCGACCCCGGCATAGTGGTTAACATCCATACCTCTCACGCCAAAGTCACGAGTTCAAATCTCACCCCCGGACAAGTCACGAATGACCCAAGAGTGTTAAAGTGACTATAATAATAATAATAATAAAAAAAAAATAAACAATTAGCCAGGTTTAAATGTCTTGTTTTGATATTCTAGAATATTCTTGGTGAAGAATGGGAATGGTATTTCGCTTGGTTTGGTATGGTACTGGATAGCTTCATTAACATCCAGTAAAGTAAAAGAAACCATACAAGAAGTCCTATGAGCTCCTCCAAGCTCGTTTTTATTTTGCATAAAATAACTCGATTTCTCCAGTTTGTTTGTACCGAAACAGATTTCCGATCCGGCATCCGGGAGGGATAGGGATGGGACCCTAAATGATACAGTTCGACTTCTCATATCAAATTCCTGTGAAATAATATGCGCATCAGATCCATTTTTGACTCTACTCGACTTGATCCAGAACCGATTCTGAAGCAACTTGTCCAGGAGATAAAAAATCCATACGTACTCCCAAAGGATCTACGAAGGACATCGTTCGCTTTTCAGTCAAAAATGCATTTGAATTCGTCTATTCCAGTAGTCAAGTACGATCACAGCAAGTGAAGATTATTTGAAGCGTAACTATTCAAATCGACGAATCTGCTTTTGTAAACAATCACTTCAATCGACGATTTGTCTTAACTGCTAGTTCACCCAAGCAAACAGTTAGTTAGTTTCTGTGATCAGTTGCCACAAATCGTCGATTGAAGTGATTGTTTACAAAAGCAGATACCTAGATAGAGCTGGAATTAGGGCGTAACAACCTTTGTAAACAATGACTTCTATCGATGATTTCTAGGAACTCAAGGCACGCCTACGCAAACCAACATAACATTTGTGTAGGGCAAGTCTTTCCCTAACCGATGGTGTGGTTGATTTGCGTTGGCGAGCCTTAACTTTCTAGAAATCATCGAAAAAAGTCATTGTTTACAAAAGCTGTTACACCCTAATTCCAGCTCCATCTAGATACATCGATTTGAATTGGTACGCTTGATTTGGCTGTTTTCAGAAAACAAATTTAACGGCGCCGATGGTGTAGTGGTAAGCGTGATTACCTCTCACCCCAGCAGGCCTGGGTTCAATCCCAGTCGGCGCCGCCGGGATGTTCTGAGGCATAACATCTCTGATCACGCCTTCCTTCGGATGGGAAGTAAAGCCGTTGGTCCCCGGTTCATGAGTTGATGGGTCGATAGGTAGAGTAAAGGTGTGGGAGCTGCCTTCCTGGCACGTCGGTAGCATTGGTGCTCAGCACGGAAAACAAGATCGACGGAAAAAAACAAACCAAAGGAGAAAACAAATTTGGCAAAAAATAAAAAGACCATCACACAAATTGGAATGACAAATACAATCCAATACAATGGAATGACAAATACAATATGTGCCATAGCAATGTTTGGTCAAATATAACCTTGGTTAAATGTATTTGTGGAAATTTGCAACAAAAGGGAAATGGATGTAATGTCGGCCTAAATGCTCCTTATTTGGGTCCATCCATAAACTCAGCAATTGACTAAATTTTCAATAGCTACCAAAAATATCCATTAGAACCGTCCCAATGAAGCGTTCATCTGGATATAATTAAAAAATAGCAGAATTTTAGCGATGGACCAACATTAAGTCATTTCCACTATTTGACATTTTGTCAAACAGTGTGATGTCAGCTTAACAGAAGATGTTCATCGCTGAAAAATTAGCAGTTGTGGTTGAACATGACGTTTTTGAACGTTGACTAGGTTGTAATAAGTATACTTGGAGGCCCATAATTGTGAAAGTGAATATCCCAACTAACATTTCCAGCTTTACTAGCCAACTTTTCCAGCGTTGTGCTGTAAAGTAGCTGAAAAGAAGCTGCAGATACAGCTACTAGCAGAAGCTAGCAAAATAGTTTTGGAGTCGCACTGAATAACAACAGCCAAAAAACGCTAATGTCTCTTTTATACACATACTAATCAACTTTCAACTTTTAGCTGCAAAACAAAGCTAATAAAGCGAATATGTTATTTATTCGATGGCTTTACACAACCAACCACTCTTGCTGAATAACATAAACATCAAAAGTGCTTTTTCAACAACTAAACAACCTGTACTCAGCTAATAAACTGTGTTAGAGCTACTTCGGAAGCATTTTCACCGCCAACTGGGTTTATTTTTAGACGTGTGCAGTTTTACAGCTTTTACTCTGCTCCTTTACAAAGCTGAAGTAACTAGTCGAGAAAAGTGATTTATGTACACTATTATAAAGACTCTACTCAGCGATTTTGCTGTGGAAAGGCATGTTGATTTGTTTACATCAGTTCAAAGTGTTGGCGTAGCATAGTTGGTAGTGTCAAGGTTTGCCAAAGCGGTCGTCTAGAGTTCGATTCCAGGTTCCGGTGCAAGGTAAATAATTTGGTGATGACTTATAACTTATTTCGAATAATTTGATTCACTGCTAAATAAACTCAATAAATTCCTCCATAAAAAAGCGTAAACAGTATTTAACCCCCGGCTTCAAGAGAAAGCTGTGTTGTGAATATTGGATAACCGCAAAAAGGTTGAATAAGCGCCTTTCAAGTTGACACACAACTAAACAGCAGGATAACAGCTGTATAGAAGCGTTAATGGATTTGCAATAAGAGCTTATCCCAACCGTCCCAACAGCCATAATTAGCTGACTAAGTTCGCCAGATCTTGTATAGAGGTGGAGTAAAGGTTTCCTCATATCGTACAACGTTTGAATACAATTCGAGGCTGTATAAATAAAATGAGTAAAGCATTTACATTGTGAAAATATATATCCTGCATTAGCTCATTTACCAAACACATAATTGATCCTCCCTAAATTGCAATTCACCTTTCGTTCTTAAAAACCTCCCCGACATCATTGGCCATTTCCCGTCGGTAAACCCCATCGGCTCCGAATCTCCGCTTACCTCAATCGCTTCGCCTCATCGATGAACGGTCTCTTCTCGCCTTCTGTCAGCAGCTTCCACTGTGCTCCCAGATTCTTCGATATCTCCGAATTGTGCATCTTGGGATTGTCCTGAGCCATCTTCCGTCGCTGTCCCCGGGACCACACCATGAACGCATTCATGGGCCGTTTGATGTGCTCTCCGGGAACTCCACTGCTGGAACTACATGCACTGCCAACGCCGTTGCTGCTACTGCTGCTGTTGTGCAGTTTCGAAGAAATGGTCATGTCCATTGCGACCTGATTTGGGTTCGGCTGTTGTGTGTCGTTTGGCAAATTAGCTGGACTTTCCCCGCGAAGGTACGTCACAAATGGGTCACAACACCGTCCCCGTCACTCGTTCAATTCTTTTGTTTTATTCGGGTGTCACTTTGCTCACAATTATAATTACATCACTTGATTGCGAAATTATCACGCTTGATATCTCTTGCAATTCGCACGCTTTGGTTGAACACTGCAATCAATTCGCTTCAATTATCTTTGCAACAACGAGCAACTTATCACAAAAATAAAGAGTTTACGAAATTGCCTGCCGCTTATCAGCGCACTCGTGTGCAGTTTAGATGCAATCGTCAGCCGTCATTTTTTTTGGTATTTTTGGATGATTTCCTGCTTGATAACCTCCTTTTCAAATTATCACTTCCTACTGCAACGAACAAAAATTCTCAGCCACACGATTCGCACTAGTTGATCGCGTCGGATTGTTCTAAAGCCGCCATCGATTCGATCCGATATTTTCCTCTTATCAATTCTGATCGAAGTCACAAACGTTCACCGCAATAAAAAAAAAAGCAACGCTCACCGGTGGGGACCAAGAATAGCTGGATATCTCCCGCTCGCGCGATGTTTTCACGTCGAATTCTAAACACATAATGGTCCCATCATAATCTGTTCCACTGTTGATATTTTGATAAAAGGGACCCAACCAGTAAACCCAACAAAAAAATAAAACGAAAAACAGCAAAACCCGAACACCCGAGATACCAACAAATAACAACACCACCGACCGACCGACCGACCGACAGTCAGCAAAACCATCTGGAGAGGAGACGGGCGGAAAAGCATTTCTGACTCTGGCGAAGAATAAAGAAGAAAATCCAGCGATGTGCACACATTCCCACATATAGCAGCAAACAACAAATACACAAACAAAAAACTCACTCTCAGTTTTCCCGAAAAGGCAGCAGCAAAGAAGAAAAACACAAAACAGATATCCTTTTTTCCTCGCGCGCAGTGCTCGATTTTCCTTCTCTTTTGCACCCACGTGACAGCAGTGGCCTGCTAGCGGAGTTGGATGTGTGCATGCGGTGTGGATGATGGGAAATGCGCGCTTTTCCACACCGACTGCTGGAAGAGAATGGTTGCAGTGATGTTGGAGTTTTTCTCTTTAAACTAGCAGCGTGGTGAGAAAGAACATGTGCTCACGGTTTGATTGTGCTTTATTTTTCGGTTTACGTTTTGGGTGATCGACATGGTTCCAGTCGTTGACAATCGAAGCAGTCGGTTCTGTTTTGGACGCTTTACGAGAAATGCAATGTGACATTCTTTTTCCGGCCAAACGTTTTCAACAGTCATGGGATTTGAAAAGTGCTTCATTTTTTTTCTCTATTAACTAGATCTTATAAAAATGCATTTTTTTTTATATTTCATGAAATTCATAGCTTAGGTAGGCAACTTTAAAATTTTAAACTCTTATGGAGTTTTCTTATCCCTGCGCAGTAGTTTGGCGACCTGGAAGCCTTTCAACGTCTTGAGAGCAACACTTCCAGCGTATAAGGGAAAGCTCTGACAAATTTCACAACCCGAATGTTCGGAAGCAACCCTATCGTAGTAATTACTCTTGGTTCCTCCATGGGCAACCAGCTCCGAAATCCGACATGTTTTCTTTTGAACCAAAGCTAACTGCTTCTTCGTCGCCTAGGCTTTTTACGCTTCTGTAGTGAGCGTTTTTCCGACTCTCAACTTAGTGATTCTGATACACTTCCACATTTACGAACGGAGGGCTTTGTATGCCATCCACTGCATGCTTTTGTATATTGTGTGGCAAGCACAATGATACTCTATGCTCAGGAAAGTCGAGAAAAGTTCCAACCCGTAAACCGTGCCTTTACTAACAGGCTATCTGAGGTCCCATCAATCTGAAGCTGAAAGCTGTGCACCAACATGTAAAAGGGAAGTTTCCCAGGTAACAATTTGATGCTTAACAAGTGTTGTTTAATCGATTTTAATTCAGCCTTAGATTGAATAATTGCTGTACATAGACCACGTTAACCTTTGTTAAGCTTTTAAACATCTAAATCTGGTGATTTTAAAGGGTGATACGGTCAAAATTTGGTCAATATCAACTTGACGTATTTCTTTCAATTTTGCATTTAAAAAACCTGAACACCCCTCATTTTGAAGGTGTGTGTGTGTAGAATGTTGCTCCTATTTTGATTTTGAAATTCACTCTTCAGTTGTCAAAATGCCGTCCAAGCAAGAAGAGCAGCGTATCAAAATTTTGCTCGCGCATCGCGAAAATCTGAGCTACTCGGACGCAAAGTTGGCAAAATCGCTAAAAGTTGCCAAATCAACCGTTACAAATGTAATTAAAGTGTTTGGGGAACGTTTGTCGACAGCCAGGAAGTCTGGATCGGGGGAAAATCTAAAACCGAAGCCGCTGAGACGACAAAGAGAGTTGCCGGTAGTTTCAAGCGAAACCCTAACCTCTCTCTCCGAGATGCCGCAAATAAGCTGGGTGTATCGTCTACAACCGTGCATCGAGCCAAAAAACGAGCCGGACTATCGACTTACAAGAAGGTAGTGACTCCAAATCGCGATGATAAACAAAATACGACGGCCAAAGCTCGATCCCGGAGGCTGTACACGACGATGCTGACGAAGTTTGACTGCGTGGTAATGGACGACGAAACCTACGTCAAAGCCGACTACAAGCAGCTTCCGGGACAGGAGTTTTATACGGCAAAAGGAAGGGGAAAGGTAGCAGATGTTTTCAAGCACATGAAACTGTCAAAGTTCGCAAAGAAATATCTGGTTTGGCATGCCATCTGTACCTGTGGCTTGAAAAGCAGCATTTTCATAGCTTCCGGGACTGTCAACCAAGAAATTTACGTGAAAGAGTGTTTGAATAAACGTCTGCTGCCTTTCCTGAAGAAACACAGTTGTTCCGTACTGTTTTGGCCGGATTTGGCATCTTGCCATTACGGTAAAAAGGCCATGGAGTGGTACGCCGCCAACAACGTGCAGGTGGTTCCCAAGGACAAGAACCCTCCCAACACGCCAGAGCTCCGCCCAATTGAGAAATACTGGGCTATTGTCAAGCGGAACCTAAAGAAGACCGAAAAAACTGCTAAGGGCGAGCAGCAGTTCAAGGCAAACTGGCTTTCTGCGGCGAAGAAGGTGGACAAGGTGGCTGTACAAAATCTGATGGCAGGGGTCAAGCGTAAGGCCCGGCAATTCGGATTTGGAAAAGCGGAAGCCTAACTGAATATTTTTCCTGAATTTTATACTAATTGAACTTGAAAAAGACATTTAATTTGATTTTTTAAATAAACGATTTCACCGATTTACACGCGTTTTCCCTTGACCAAATTTTGACCGTATCACCCTTTATTCAGCCAAAAGCTTAACATTAATATCCGTTATTAGCTTTTTAAGGCATTAAACAACAGTCTTTTCCAACCCTTGTTCAGCCTTCTAGTTTTATTTCAAAAATAATAATTGAAGATCGCTTCATATCTTATGCATTTACATGCAGCTGCTTTAACTTGTTGCTGACTTATGCGATTTACATATTTAGTATGTTAATATAAGTCTAAAAATTACCTTTGCATTTCGGGATTCGAACTAGCAGTTGCTGATTCACAGGTGTCAACCATACCTACTGCACCACTTAAGCAAATGTGTGGCAAAAGGTATGATCATTGACTTGAATCTCGTAAAATTTAAGTTAAATAACAAGACACAAGAGCATGTTTTATTTCGATGGTCATTTGGATGCTATTTTAGTGCCATAATTGAGTAATATTTTTGGAATACGGTCTGAAACTTCAGTGCAACATAACAGACAAAACACAGGAATACAAATATTAATACTTCCCATGTCGTCGCAGCCCACATCTACCTGTAGCTATTCATAAAAATCTCTTCTCCCTTCTCTCTATTGCTGCCACTGCTTGTAATTAGAAAGGTAGGCAGTAAATTTAGAAGAACTAAAATGCCGGAAATGCAGTGAGTGACACAGATACTGACAACATTTAACAAATCAAGCTATCAAAACATGTGTAACGCATTGCTGATTTATGGAGTTGTGTTAAGCTTAAATAAGCCTTGTTCAATCTTCAGATCAGCTAACTTATTAAGGTTAGATTATGGGGATACAATTCGCTTCATGCACTACTAATCAACAATATATTCATACCTTACCTTACCAATCAAGCTAAGGCCTTGTTGTCCTCTGCTGTCCGAAGAAGTCGTCTCCACTCTACTCGATCCATGGCCACAGTTCGCCAGCCTCGTAGTCTGCGAAGGGTCCACAGGTCACCTTCTACTTGGTCGATCCACCTTGCCCGCTGCGCGCCTCTTCTTCTTGTTCCTGTTGGGTCGCTTTCTAGAACCATTTTCACTGGGTCGTCGTGCGGCATTCTTACGACGTGCCCAGCCCACCGTAGTCGCCCAATTTTTGCAATGTGGACGATGGATGGTTCTCCCAGCAGCTGGTGCAATTCGTGGTTCATTCGCCTCCTCCACGTTCCGTCATCCATCTGCACTCCACCGTAGATGGTACGCAACACCTTCCGTTCGAAAACATCAAGGGCGCGTTGATCGTCCACGAGCATACTCCAGGTATCGTGGCCGTAGAGGACCACGGGTCTAATCAGCGTCTTGTAGACAGTCAACTTCGTGCGGCGGCTAATTTTATTCGACCGGAGCGTCCTCCGGAGTCCAAAGTAGGCACGATTCCCTGCCATAATGCGTCTTTGAATTTCTCTGCTGGTATCATTTTCGGCGGTCACCAGTGAGCCCAAATACACGAACTCATCGACCACCTCGATTTCGTTACCGTCAATTTGAACTCGTTGTGGGAGGCTAACATTGTCTTCCCTAGAACCTATTCCTTTCATGTATTTTGTCTTTGATGCGTTGATGGCAAGTCCAATCCGCCTAGCTTCACCCTTCAGTCTGATGTACGTTTCCGCCATCATCTCAAAGTTCCGTGCCATAATGTCAATGTCATCGGTGAACCCAAGGAGCTGGATGGACTTCCTGAATATCGTGCCACTCGTGTCTATCCCAGCTCTTCTGATCACACCTTGTAACGCGATGTTGAACAGCAGACACAAAAGTCCATCACCTTGCCGTAACCCCCTTTGAGATTCAAAGGAACTCGAGAGTGTCCCCGATACTCGAACAACGCACATCACTCGATCCATCGTCGCCTTGACCAATCGCGTCAGTTTGTCCGGAAATCCGTACTCGTGCATAATCTGCCATAGCTGATCTCGGTCGATTGTGTCGTATGCGGATTTGAAATCGATGAACAAATGATGTGTGGGCACGTTGTATTCGCGGCATTTCTGCAGAACCTTCCGAATCGTGAAAATTTGGTCCGTGGTAGCGTGGGCACCCATGAATCCCGCCTGGTATTGCCCCACGAACTCTCTTGCAAATGGTGACAGACGGCGGCATAGAATTTGGGAGAGTACCTTGTAGGCGGCGCTCAGCAGTGTGATCGCA